AACCGCTATGTACTGACGGTTAAGAAGAAACTCTCCTCCTCAAGTAAAATTATTCACGACCCTCCACTTCCTCTCCTGCCAGAACATGGCCTTCATCTGACAGTACTTAGACCACTTCTCTAAAAACATGTCATTTTAAGCTTTTTTGCAATATAGTCAAATCCAGTAACCACTTGAGGCAACAGGAGAGAAAAAAAAAATCTGATGTCAGTTGAGCTGTTATATCCTGCCCACTTACACCTGCTGCTGAAGGAAAAAGAAACTTTGTTCCTTACACCTCTCCAAATCACATCATCAGCTGTGAGTGTACTTCCACTGCAGCTTAAATTGATGCAAGCTGGTCCTGCCATTTTTCTGCCCTTGCTGTCCCCCCTAGTCATCTTATCTCCATTGTGGTAGCACTGGCACTCATCTGACCACTTGGTGAACCTTCTCAGGATGCTAAAACAGCAGGAAAAAAACACTGCACCAGCTCACACAGTGGTTGGGTGAGTGACAAAACCAACATAAAAAAGTGGGTAGAATCAGGCAACTCACAGTGGGACTGCCGTGGTACTCACATCAGTTTAAAATCATGAAGCTGCATGTGAAGTCTTCAGTGTTTCTGCTCTTCTAGATCTACTTACTCCCCCTTCAGATTAGAAAAGGAGATTTGCTATGGAAAGTCTCCACACTTTCTAAATTTTTCGTGAAGTAGATGAAAGTCTTTAATTCCTAACACCTGCCAGAATGAAGCGCCACCAGAGCACCTCTATATACCTAACATACCTGATCAGCTGTATGTCTGTGAATCTCACTGTAAGAGATTTTATAATAAGAAACAAAATGGGTGAGGGGAGAGGTACAGAAATATGGAGGTAAGACAAATTCATTCAAGTATAATCTTATTTCAAAGGTTCAGAAGTTCAGCGTTCATACGAGCAGAATATAAAATGAGCAGGATTATATGGTGTTTTTCCCCCCACTTGCACAGACTTCTGGTTTGTTTACACTTACGGCACATGCTTCTGCTTTCTTAAAATTGTAACAGATCGAACATATCTTGTTCCCACTTAAGGAAAACAAATGACAACTAAAATAAAGGCATTTACCCTTGAAGAACAATAACACAATGACTGAGATGAGATGAACTCTAAAGAAATGTTTTGGCAAGCTACATGAGAGTAACTTTGAAGGAGACCAGGAGTCTGTAAGACCCATATCAAGATTAAAGGGCTGGTAAAACGTGTGGTGTCCAGTAGTTTGAACACATTGAGGACTGCACATGCTAACTTTGAAAAGAGTTTGCTTTTTAATTAGTAACATCCCTCTAGAGTAAACACACTGGAATAGCATGCCTGCCAAACGCCATTTCAGGCGCAATATTTGTCAGAAACTAGTACTATTCAATAACATTGAAAAGACACCATATAATTAAAGCAAAATAGCATACTATCTAGAATCAAGTTTCTTATTTATGCCAGGAAATGACAGGCTCAAATTTCCTCCAAGATTGTTCTGTCAAAATCTCTTTACATCACTTATCCACGTTAACCTTTTTTAAGACACTCTTTGGCCTCTCCTATCACACTGTAGCATTTATTTATAGTATTGAGATATTTGTGAAATGAAGAGAAGAGTGGGAAATCAAGGACAGTAATTTGATACTTAGTTTGAATTTTTCACAATAAAGTATCTTCACCCTCCTACCCTCAAACCGATTAGTGTAATTCTTAAAGGCACATGCATTTAAATACGAGAGGCCTTGGAATGAAGTACCTATATATAAAGTTCTTACTGAGGAAATCCATCTGTGGCACTGTAGAAACATGAATCTTTACTTCTTTAGATCCTTCTGCTTGGCTCAGGTAATCCACTGTCCATTTGGTTGTGCAAGTACCCAGTTCTATCCCTTTCAGCACTACTGGCTTTCGCTAAGGAAGCAAACAAACAAAAATTGTGAAATGATTGTAGCATCCAGCAAAAAAATCCAGAATTAGTTTTTCAGACTAAGTACGCACAAACAACTCCGCTGAGTACCAGGACCTGCAGCACAAAGTTACAACTGAATAACTGCATGAATCAGAATCCAGAATGTTGAAAGAAAATACAGCAAATCATGAGACTGTTTCTCTATTTACTGCATGCTCTTCCATAGTGGGAAAGGCAATGATACGGAGAGGTAAAGACAGCTTTAACTCTCAGTATATTCTACAGCCACTCTTCCGTGGCTCTATCTAGCTAGGCTAAGTTTAGCCATTCTAGCCAGAGCCTAGCAGAAAACAGATATAAGACCATACATTAACAGTGTAGTTTGTGGGCTGCTGTGGTGCTGTATTTTCTCAAGAAAGAAGCTCTTTCCACCCATTTTTAAGGGTCATTGATGCTGACAACCATGAATAGGTTTGATTCAGTGTATACAAAACATCGTAGAAACACTCTTTTGCTTTGAATCAGGACCTTGGAGAAAAAGGAAGCAGCTGACAAGAAAAAGAAATGGTAGTCACACATGTTTTCTAACTGGCATTAAAGAAAATAAGTCACAGATAGATCAACTGCTTGGGTTATTCCGTATATGGGAACTGGTTAGCCACCAGAGATTCCTTGCTCCTACACCTACAGTTATTTTAATGAATCGTGGTGCCTGCTATGAAAGATATCAAAACCAAAACTGATTGATTATCTTTAGTACCAGGCTGCTACAGTACTAACCCAAACCATTTCCTTTCATTTGTTGAATCCTTCTCTGATTAACTGCTTTGGAGAGTACCTTTATTTTCTGTAAGTAACTTTTACTACTAGAAAAACACACATATTTTCATAAAGGATAGTAGATCTATTTCATCCCCAGTTTTAAGCAAGATACCTAAAGATGCATCTTGTTTGCAAGCAACTCCCTGTGGGGAATAAAAAAAA